ATCGGTCGAAGCTGGTCGAGTCTGGCCTTAACCGCTGGGAAATCGGCGAGATCGCGAGCCGTATCGGTCAGCTCTACTTCGGACAGTACATGAGGACTAGCGAGGCTCCGTTCCTGCTCGAGGCATATGTATTCTATGAGGCGATTCTGAGGAGGAGATACTTCGAGGAAGCTCACGGCAAAGATCTCAGTGTCCGATTCAAAGAGCTCCGGTTCTATGCGAGATTTTTGCTTGTTTCGCTGATCGCTGATAGGAAAGAAATGGTTAAGCATTTGTCTGAGAAGCTTAGGGTTCTGGTGGATGATAGCAAGTCGAATTTCCGGGTAAGTTTGATTTCTATAAGTCCGATTCTCGTGAGTGGAGATGAGAAAAATTTTTCAGGAAAAGAATTTGTGCCTGAACTGAAGACGAGTTGTTTGATTGATTTTCGTTAGGCCCAAGCATTTTTCTTGATTCAATTACAACTTGTGTGCGAGAAATTTTCAAGGGTAGCTTTTTAGGATCATAATCAAGAAGCTTGTGCACTTGGAATTGCTATTTCATCCATCTACAAAGAAGGGAACAAATTGATGCTTTCATCATCACTATGTTTCCTTTCTTATCATGGATTTGGATTTTTCAGTTGCACATTCGGTAAAGCATATTCCTTGCTCCTGTGGGGGGGGACAGTAATCTGTGTTTCCGTCTTGCTGAGGTTTGGAAATTGGAATACTATGATAATGGATATGTTGTTTTTGCAGGGCACCAATTTCAAAGAATGGAAGCTAGTTGTGCAAGAAATCACTCGCTTCATGAAAGCTGACACAGACTTAACTTATGTAAGGCCTTTGCGATATTGCTCTACGCTTGATTCCCATCTGGCTTCTCAAACATACCTAACACGGTTCCACGCAAAGAAAGTGTTGAGGTTTCGTGATGCTGTCTTGACAAGCTATCACCGCAACGAGGTTAGTAAGCAGCATTAGTTCTTCTGAGGCCCGAAATATATCTGAGAGGTGCCGTCTTGATTGGACTTTAATGTTCGGAATCATCAAAGCCTGTTTGTTGCTTTTAGAATCATACATCGTGTTGATTTTCAGGTCAAATTTGCTGAAGTCACATTGGACACCTATAGAATGCTGCAGTGTTTGGAATGGGAACCCCGAGGATCTTTCTATGAAAAACAGTCTATCGAACCAAAGCAGAATGGCGTTGTAATCGATCATTCTGCACCTTCTGGCCTAATTGATGTAAACTTGGACGCCGATATGGTTGATCGATCATTACCTCCAAATCCTAGGAAAGCAGTTCTTTACCGTCCCTCTGTATCTCACTTGCTGGCGGTGAGTTTTAAGTACATTGCTTTCTCAAATCTTCTGGACTATCCGGTTTTGCTTTTGCCTTGATCCTCTGATATTTCGTGTTTGTGTAAAATGCAAAGATTGAGAACCAACGAGGTTTTGTTTATCGGCAGGTCATGGCCACGGTTTGTGATGAGCTTCCTCCGGAGAGTGTGATGTTAATATATATATCAGCATCGGGTTAGTTTCTTTTCCATCGGCACATTGGGCTTCTAAGATTGATGACTTCTATAATCTTTATTGTGTAACTGATATCCACGAAAAATTTACAGAGGGTCCTGTTCGCAGTAACGTTCCGGAGTCAGAGAGCTCTGCAGGTTCGAGTAAATCTTCAAAAAGCAAATTGCTTTCCCGAGCTTCCCAGGAACAGAAGAGTTCCAAGTTTGAATCACATTCACATAGTAATGGACAGAGATTGCGTGGCGGCGATTATTATGATAGTCATATATGGTTGGGTCCTAGAGGAGGCTCTGGTAGGCTTGTTGGGTGCATCTCAGATACCGGATGGCATTCTGTTTGTTGTTTTTACTAACTCTGTTTTCTGCAATGTCGTTTCTCAGGTTCAAACAATCTGTACCCTGGTGATATAGTTCCTTTTACACGGAAACCCCTTTTCTTGATCATTGATAGTGACAATAGCCATGCATTCAAGGCAGGTTTGTCATAACTTGTGCATGATTCTCCGGATAGTTGTATAATGTTTCCAGGTTGCTGCAACTTTGTGTGCCTTTTTTTGTGTTTTGATCCCTCTTTAGTTGGTTCCTTAGTTGTTTTCACAAAATTTACATAATCTGCATTAGAAATTCCATCCACTTGTCGTTATAGTTCATGAGATTTCTTCACTTTTGCTGACGAATGAATTCCAGGTCTTGCATGGGGCGGAAAAGGGTGAGCCAGCTGCTCTGCTTCTTTCTCCTCTGAAGCCATCATTCAAGAACCCATCTGCTGCCGCTGATACAACGCAAAATGGAAGCCAGTTTACCTTCTTCTTAACGTCTCCTTTACAAGCATTCTGCCAGATGCTGGGCCTCGGGGACTCGGATACCGACCCAGTAAGGACGATGTTGAACCCTCAAAAAATCCAACTTGTATTTGTAATGTTCTGTCTTATCCTTTCCCTTTGATGCATTCGTGTTAATCTGCTTCCAGAATGTTTATGAAGAAGCCGAAGACATACTCTCCGTCGGGTTTTCAGAGTGGGAAGTGATTCTCTCCACGTCCAAAAGCCTAGACCTAGTTTGGGCGCAAGTTCTATCCGATCCATTCTTGAGACGGCTCATCCTCAGGTAAGTTTACTTCCGCAGATTCTCTATTCTACAACTTTAGACGTCTTTACGTGATTCTACGGCATCTTTCCAGATTCATCTTCTGCCGGTTTGTCCTGAAGGCCTTCTCCCGGTCAGAAGATCTTGAATCTAGCTCGCCCCTCTGCTTTCCCGACCTCCCGGGCTCCGTCTCGTCGGGGTCTGAACCCGTGAAATCTGTTCTTCGCCGACTGGCCGACCACCTGGGAGTCACCGAATGTTTCAGATTCTGACAGGGCATAGAATATGGTAAAAACGTTAGAGCCTATCTCCACTGGTTTGTTATACGAAGACAAGTGGTATTTAGGTGGTGGGGGATTTGAGTAAAGTGTGATTTGGGGATTCTCTATGATTCTTTTTTTTTTGTCATTTTGTAAAAGAGAAAGCCAATGTAGCTATGAAATTGAACCGTGTTTTAGAAGAACAAACATATATATATATATATATATTATTAGTCTTTTTTTTTTGGGTTTTTATTCCTTCTTAGTGTTGTACGGACTACGGAGGTAAACATAATAATTTAATGTGCATTGCTTAAGGAGTATTTTGCTTATTATGCTTATATTTTGATTCTTTAATGTGCATTGGTTGTATTTATTTCATAAAAACTATTCCCATTCATTTTTTTAGTTCAATAAAAATGTTTATTTTGCATGGACAATTTAATTTTTTCGAGTTCTTTTTACATTTTCTTTGAATTAAATTCATATAATTTTAAAAAAATAATTTGAAATGGATTCTTCTCTCGCTTTTCTATTGGAATTATTGGTTGGGCTCCATCCCATTTGTTTGTAGATAACGGAAATCTCCACACCGTACGATTACAAAGAAAACGTTATATCCCAACCGTCCATTTCATCCAATGAGATGACTCTCACTTCTCTTGTGCGTCTTCTCCTTTGTTCGTGTTTTTCCCCCCCCCCCCCCCCCACTGGATGAGCTCTGGCGAGGAAAAAGCCTGAAGAAAGAAATCAGAGGTACGCTTTGTGTAATTCCGATCCAGTAACTTGACGGGATGCGTTTCTTCGAATTTGGATGTCCATCCATTCTATAATGTTGTTGACGATATTATTAGGGTTCTTCCCTGCGCGTGTGATCGAGTTCAATTTTTTTCCGTTTCGATTGGCTTAGATTTGTGCATATTTGATCTGCATCTGGTTTCTATGTTTTGATTTAGGCTCCGTCGGCTGCAATCGCTCATTCGCTATTGGTTTTACTCGCAGATGGTCTGTAGAAGGAGGCTCTTGAATCGAAAACCCTAATCTTTGTCCTTCTCTTTTTGATCTTAGATCGCTATATTATTGAGTTTTTCCAATGTGGGCGTAGCTGTTAGTGCGGTGAGGTTGTTCGATTTTGGAGTTTAGTTTACGACGTATTGGTATTACTTAGATCGAGTGTCTGACCGTGGGCAGCGATAATTTCCTGTTTAAATTCCATGTGATCGCTGTAAAGCTTTAGATCCGTGTTTCCCCTAGAGGTAGCACATGGAATCTTTGGTGTTTTTGGCAATTAGGGTTTTGTTTTGTCGTGTCTGCTCAATTCGATTCGATTTCTGATCCGTTTTTGAGGTCGATCTAGTTTTTTTGATGCATTGAGTTAGGTTCGAAGGGACTCTGTCTCTGGATAATGTCAGGCATATGATTTTGCTGAATCCACAGATGCGTAAAGCTCTCATCTTTGTTTTCAATTTGTTGTTTTCAGAAGAATCTTCCATTTTTATCGTCTTCGTCGTCTTCCCTAAAATCATCTCCGATTGTTCAGATGCGTTTTTGGTTCTTTTCCTGTTTTTTTTTTTCTTAGCTCAACCCGAAGGGACTCTGTCTCTGGATAATGTCAGGCATATGATTTTGCTGAATCCACAGATGCGTAAAGCTCTCATCTTTGTTTTCAATTTGTTGTTTTCAGAAGAATCTTCCATTTTTATCGTCTTCGTCGTCTTCCCTAAAATCATCTCCGATTGTTCAGATGCGTTTTTGGTTCTTTTCCTGTTTTTTTTTTTTCTCAGCTCAACCAGTGAGATTTTGGTTTAATATTGAATACAATGTCTTTCTCCCATTGTTCGTCTTCAGTCATTGTACTTTCTTGCTTGTTTATTATTCCACGATTCAAAGTTAAGGTTTTTACTGAGGGCATATCAACCTAGGTCCGCATTTCTCAGCTTGATGTTCAACCTAGCTCTGAACCTCAATTTGGACAAGCTCTATTCAGAACTTGTATGTTTATTTTCTCAATCAAATATGCAGAGATGGATTGGCAAGGGCAAAAACTGGCAGAGCAGCTGATGCAGATCCTGCTCTTGATCTTCGGTGTCATCGCAATTGTTGCGGGATATTCAATGGGTTCGTTTAGGATGATGATGCTGGTCTATGCAGGTGGCGTGGTTCTCACCACTCTGATCACCATTCCTAACTGGCCGTTCTTCAATCGTCACCCTCTCAAGTGGTTGGACCCGAGCGAGGCCGAGAAGCATCCCCGACCACTAGCAACCACGACTTCGAAGAAGAAAAACTCAAAGAAGTAGGCTTTGCTTTGATATCTTGTGTTTCTTCATCTCAAACTTTAGACATAACTAGACGGGAGTGTTGTTTTTTGGACATCAGATTCTCCAAGACATTCAAATCTTTATATTGATGGTCCCATTGTAATGAGTTGAAATGTTTCTGGATTGTGAGCCTAATAAACTTGAAAAGGTCTTTACTTTATTACACCTGCCATCTATGTTCTTCATGTTTGTGCAAATTAAATTAAATAATTCAACAAGGTTCAGGGAAGGAGGAAATTCAGAGTCCCTGCGACGGTTTTAAGGTTTGCGATCTCTCTCCGCCGTTCACCTCGCCATCGGCAGGAATTTTCGACACCCCCTCCGTCCTCGTTGACGTTAGAAGTTTCCTCCAGTGTGCATTCTTTCTCTCCCTCTCTCCTGCTTTTCCATTTTCGTCGTCTTTTTCTCAAACTGAGAATGATCTGGTTGTGGCGGCGAAGGAAGACGCTTACAGGACATTCCGGCCCTCGTGGAGAACGTTGATCAGAACTTTGCCAGAGTTAGGGATCTGCTGGCGTTCGGACGAGCACAGGGGCACTACTACTTCCACAAGGTATTCAAGGCCTATATGCATCTGTGGAAGTTTCAGCCAGCAGGAGAATCGGTCGAAGCTGGTCGAGTCTGGCCTTAACCGCTGGGAAATCGGCGAGATCGCGAGCCGATCCATTCTTGAGACGGCTCATCCTCAGGTAAGTTTACTTCCATCGATTCTCTATTCTACAACTTTAGACGTCTTTACGTGATTCTACGGCATCTTTCCAGATTCCAGATTCATCTTGCCGGTCCGTATTAGACGCTTTCTGCCGTTCGGAAGATCTTGAATCTAGCCTGCCCCTCTGCTTTCCCGGCCTCCCGGGCTCCGTCTCGTCGGGGTCTGAACCCGTGAAATCTGTTCTTCGCCGACTGGCCGGCCGACCACCTGGGAGTAACCGAATGTTTCAGATTCTGACAAGGACATAGTCTGACAAGGACATAAACTGGTAAAAACGCTGGAGCCTGTCTCTCCAATGGTTTTGTTATATGAAGGCAAAGATCGGTGTTGGTTATACTTTTTATTTTATTTTTACAAAAAAGATTTATTTTGTAATAAAATATCTGTTTTTTTTAGATTTTTTTATATTTAATCTAAATCTCAAAAAAGAATTCGAAATGGATTTTTAGTTGAGTTTCTATTGGAATTATTGATTGGGGTTCCATTCCATTTGTTTTGTAGATAGTCGAAATCTCCACACCGTACGATTACAAAGCTAACCTTACATCCCAGCCGTCCATGAGTTGGTACACTTCCCTTGTTCGTCTTCTCCATTTTTTTTTCTCTCCCCTGGATGAGCTCTCGATAGGGGGAAAAAAAAGGGCTGAAGAAAGAAATCGAGGTACGCTTTTGAAATTCTTTCGAGGATTCGTTTTTCGAATTTGGATGTCCAGCAATCGTGGATTGTCGATCACCGCATTATTAGGGTTCTTCCCCCTCTCTGCTGATGTGATTGAATTCAATTTTTTTTACCGTTTCGATTGACTTAGATATGTGTGTATTTGCTCTACGTCTGGTTGCTGTCTTTTGATTTCTCCACGCTCTTGATAATTTTTTTCCAGGCGGAGAAAAATTGAAGTCTTTAGGCTCCATCCTGGCTGGAATTGCTCATTCGCTTTTGGTTTTATCGTAGATGGTTTGTAGAAGGAGGCTCTTGAATCGAATGCCCTAATCTATGATGTTAACGTCGAGACCCCTTTTGTACCCTAATTTCCCCGTGCTTGTAACATCATCAAGCCCTAGCTTTGGCTGCAAAAGCTGGCATTTTCCGCGCTGCAAATCCCCCACGAGTTTCAGACTACACGCACAAAACGGCGGCAATGATCTGGGAAATGGTCTCGGTGGGAAAGACGAAGTACGAGGGGGAAACGAACCGATCAGTAACGGGAATGGCTCGAGGAAAGAGGGATGGCTAGGGTTCAATCTCCGGTGGGGCGATCTCTTGAATCCGGATCCGGACAATTTCGTGGCCATCGGACTAGCCGGAGTGCTGACATGGGCGAGCGTTCAGGTCCTGTCTCAGCTCCTCTTCATCTCTCTCGCCATTCTTGTTGCTGCTCTCAAGTACTCCTTCATTGCCGCCCTCCTCATTTTCATCCTCATCACCCTCCTCTAAGGCCTGCCATTCTATGCTCTATGGGTATTGTACATTTCCATTAACATGGTTATTCAAGATTTTTAGACTATTTGCATTCAAATCTGAAACTATTAGACTGTATGTTTCATTATCCCAGCTGGTACGTATGGGATCGGGTCAATGAATTCAAACTCGTGAGACCCTGTCAGTCGAGTTAGATATTCGAAATTCCGGATTCTTTTCCCAACCCTACTTGCTAAGGATCTAAACATCGATCAATGGAAACATGGAGGAGGATAATGTGATCTCTCGTACTGAAGAATATAGATGATATATATATATATATAAAAAAAGTAAAGACCCTTTCAAGTTTTATTAGGGTCACAATCCAGAAACATCTCATCTCATTACTGTGGGGCCATTAATGTAAATATTTGAATGTCCTATAGAGAATGTGATGTCCAAAAAAAAAAAAAAAAACACTCCCATCTAGTTATGCCTAAAGTTTGAGATGAAGAAACACAAGATATCAAAGCAAAGCCTACTTCCTTGAGTTTTTCTTCTTCGAACTCGCGGTCACTTGTGGTCGGGGATGCTTCTCAGCCTCACTCGGGTCCAACCACTTGAGAGGGTGACGATTGAAGAACGGCCAGTTAGGAACGGTGATCAGAGTGGTGAGAACCACACCACCTGCATAGATCAGCATCATCATCCTAAAAGATCCCATTGGATATCCCGCAACAATTGCGATGACACCGAAGATCAAGAGCAGGATCTGCATCAGCTGCTCCGTCAATTTTTGCCCTTGCCAATCCATCACTGCATATTTGTTCAAGAAAATAAACATATAAATTCTGGATGTCAAAACCATAGAGCATTTCCAATTGCAGTTCGGATCTACTTTCTTAGAACACATCAAACTGATAAAGCCATAGAAAACGAGGAATGCAGATCTAGGTTGATATGCCCTCTCAGTGAAAACCTTAACCTTGAATCGTGGAATAATAAAGAAGCAAGAAAGCACAATCGCTGAAGATGAACGGGAGAACGAAACATTGTTTTGATATTGTGTATACAACGGATAAACTCTACTCCTAGATTTCAATATTACACAGATTCAATATTAAACCAAAATCTCACTGGTTGAGCTGAGAAAGAAAAGGAAAAGAACCAAAAATACATATGAACAATCGGAGATTGTTTTAAGAAAGACGACGAACGAAGATGGTAAAGATGGAAGATTCCTCTGAAAAAAAAATTGAAAATGAAGATGAGAGCTCTACACATCTGTGGATTCAACATAATCATATGCCTGACATTATCCAGAGACAGAGTCCCTTTGAACCTAACTCAATGCATCAACAAAACTGGATCGACCTCAAGGAGGCCTCACAAATCGAATCAAATTGAGCATACATAACAAAGCAAAAACCCTGATTGCCAAACACCAAAGATTCCATGTGCTACATCCAGGGGAAACACCGATCCGAAGCTTTACAGAGATCAAATGGAATTTAAACAGGAAATCATCGCAGCCCACGGTCAGATACTCGATCTAAGCAATACCAATACGCCGTAATCTAAACTCCAAATCGGACAACTTCACAACATTAACAGCTACGCCCACAGTGGAAAAACAATCAATAACATAGCGATCTAAGATCAGAGACAGAAGAAGAGAGAGCCATACCTTCGCTTCCCCGAAACCTCTCCTCAGCAAAATCGAAAGTTTCGTGCCCACAGCCGTCGAAACTCTTTTTGAGGGGACGGCAGTCAGAGACAAAATGAAAAAAATAAAACAAAAACCCAATCGCTTAGAGGCTCAGTATTTATAAAGGCATGTAATATTATATTGGGCTTTTTTCAGGCCCAGAGTTACAAAAAAGTTTTAGGTTTTACAATATTTATAACAGTTTCAAAATCAATTAAAAGACTGGGCATGTTTTCTATTGAACATTGGACAGGTCGGTTATTCGTCTAATCTCAATTGAATATGTTTGCATTTCTGAATATTATTCGGAAATAGCCCGGTTTACTGCATTTGTAATTAGATTTTAAATCCGTGTTTAACAAGAAAACTTTTCATTTAATCCCACGTAGCGGTGATCGTTGTCACACCGGTAAATATTTGATTTCAGCCGTCAGATTGGGTCGAGAAAACATAACTTGTGGCTTTTATGACCGTCGATTTAAAAACGAGGAAAACACAGTGACAAGCCATAATAACCGCTCGATCGCCATCGTTATTTATAAATACGATCCAAAGACGTTGTCTTTGAAGGTTTTTTGTTGCTATGTTCAGAGCTGAAGGGATCGATGTGAAGGAGATAGGGATTCGTAGGAAGAAGATCAGGTACGATTTTATAAATTTTACGAATTTAGGCCTCTTGATATGTTGGGTTTCCTGGGATCTCTAGAGCGAATCATATTCCTAAGAGATCGATTCTAGGGTTTGCGCAGCGGATATAAAACAAAAATTTAATGAAACCCTAGAACCATGCTGCTATTGAATCGTAGAAACATAAGAACGCTTACCTCAATCGATCCGGGGCCTGTATCAATTGAAGAATTCGTCTGATCACGAAAGAGAGGAAGATTACCTCGCCCTCTACACGTATCCACACCTCTGGATGGATTCCAACACCTTGGAACTTGTCTGCTAGGACTAGAGATCTCGATCTCTCTTGTGTGCAAGGTTTTTGGAGGCTTAGGGTTTTATTTTTCAAAGCTTAGAATCTAATTCTAAACTGAAAATATGTCTTAATTTTTCTTCTTCTTTTTCTTTCTTTTTCTCTCATCTTAAAATCCTAGAAGACATTCTCCTTATATAGACTTTCCAAAATCCTAATTTGACAAGGAATAGATTACTAGGAATCCTAATCTAATTAGGTTTCCTAAACCTATTAGAATTCTAATCTCATTAGGTTTCCTAGATGTAATAGAATTCTAATCTCATTAGGATTCTTATACATAATAGGATTCCTAATCCCATTAGGATTCCTATTCCAATTAGGAATCTCAATCCAATTAGGATTCCTAATCGGGATAATTTAACACACGTACTTGTCCATCTCTATTGTGTGTGATCCTGTAGGCTTATCCGGAATAGCAGTAAAACGCGGAATCTCCATTCCGGTAATACAAGTCATAGACGGTCTCTAGCAAGACACTATGACTACCTATCTCGAATAGAGTTTGTTTGTGATCATACGAACGCCAGTGATGATTCCGACTGATGATCCTTTTGTATAGCGATATCATATGTCGAACATAAGGCATGGACAAACCACCTTATCTGATTCGACTGCTTTCTCGTTCACTGAGTTCGACTGTCTGAAATAGACGACGTTCGTCTATAGTGCGGCCACACATTTCTACAGTCTTGCTCACACGAGGGGCCCAACGATATCTCTCTCTTTTACGAGAGGTACAAATCCCATCTTGACTATCTACAATCCAGTACATGATTCGTTTCGTACCTGATACACGCCTTTATAGTCCTCCTATTACGCAGGACGTTTGACGTAATCAAAGCACGCAACTCCTCATGTTAGATTCTGTAGATATCTCAGGTCTTAGGATCCAATCATAGAATCGTCGTATGAGATTCAAGTCATGACACTAGTCCATGTGACAATCTCATGCGGGTCAGTCCAATATTCCGTTCTGCAACGAATACCTATGATTGTGATCGTATCCAATACCTATGATCATCTATGTGATCATCAATCACACATCATACTAGTCTTATTATGTCGTTATTCCCATAATGACACAAGACTAGGGAGTTTAGTATCATTCATAATGATACACAGATTTCATAACAGATCTAGTATGCTAGAACATGTAATGAATATTATGAATGATACTAAACTCCCTAGTCTTGTGTCATTATGGGAATAACGACATAATAAGACTAGTATGATGTGTGATTGATGATCACATAGATGATCATAGGTATTGGATACGATCACAATCATAGGTATTCGTAGGTTAGTGGGAGCACAGTAGTTTTTCTGGTGCTGTTTGTGGATGACATTCTCCTTATAGGGAATGACGTTCCTACCTTGCAAGACGTTAAGTCTTGGCTAGGAACGCAGTTTTCTATGAAGGACCTAGGAGAAGCGGCCTATATTCTAGGCATAAAGATCTATAGGGATAGATCGAGGCGTCTTCTAGGATTGAGTCAGAGTACTTTCATCGATAAGGTCTTGAAACGGTTCAAGATGCAAGATTCCAAGAGAGGAACCTTACCGATGAGCAGTGGCACAGTTCTCTGCAAGAGTCAGTGTCCTACGACACCTGATGAGCGAGAACGCATGGATCGGATTCCATATGCTTCGGCAATTGGATCCATCATGTATGCCATGCTTTGTACTCGACCGGATGTATCCTACGCGTTGAGCATTACGAGTAGATACCAGTCAGATCCAGGTGAGTCGCACTGGATCGCCGTCAAGAACAGGATACATCCGGTCGAGTACAAAGCATGGCATACATGATGGATCCAATTGCCGAAGCATATGGAATCCGATCCATGCGTTCTCGCTCATCAGGTGTCGTAGGACACTGACTCTTGCAGAGAACTGTGCCACTGCTCATCGGTAAGGTTCTTTTCTTGGAATCTTGCATCTTGAACCGTTTCAAGACCTTATCGATGTAAGTACTCTGACACAGTCCTAGAAGACGCCTCGATCTATCTCTATAGATCTTTATTCCTAGAATATAGGCTGCTTCTCCTAGGTCCTTCATAGAAAACTGCGTTCCTAGCCAAGACTTAACGTCTTGCAAGGTAGGAACGTCATTCCCTATAAGGAGAATGTCATCCACGTACAACACTAGAAATACAACTGTGCTCCCACTGTCCTTCTTGTAAACACATGGCTCGTCTTCGTTCTGTGAGAAACCAAACTTTTTGATTGTCTCATCAAAGCGAAGGTTCCAGCTCTTCGAAGCCTGCTTCAGTCCATAAATGGACCTCTGAAGCTTGCACACCATCCTCGGGTTCCTCGGATCGACAAAACCTTCGGGTTGTGTCATGTACACATCCTCGGTCAAGTTCCCGTTAAGAAACGCGGTCTTGACATCCATTTGCCATATCTCATAGTCGTAATATGCGGCTATGGCAAGTAGGATCCTGATGGACTTCAGCATAACTACCGGCGAAAAGGTCTCATCATAGTCAATACCATGAATTTGACGTAATCCTTTCGCCACAAGTCGTGCCTTATACGTGTGCACGTTGCCATCCATGTCGTACGAAGCAAACAGCTCGTAAGTCCACTGGAGGGAAGGCCCCAAGGAAGCAGTTTGCTACCAAAGTATATGATTTGTCGTAATCTTTTGAGTTGGTGTGGTGATTTTGATGAGATCTACAGTATTACCTGTCATTGTTGTGTTCTTGTTTTAGGCTGCTCTTAAGTCTGCCTCAACCACCGGTGGAGTCAAGAAGTCCCATCGCTACCGTCCTGGAAATGCGTCAATACCCTCTTTGCTTGCTTGAAATGCGTCATCTCCGGTTTGCTCATGAATCTTGAAAGGTACATCAGATCCGGTCTCGTAGCCGTTAAGTACAACAGACTTCCCACCATGCTTCGATATTCTTTTGCATCTGCTTCTTTCTCCTCCTCCATATCAATGTTCTTGCTGTTTGGTTCAAGTGGTATACTGACCGGCTTACAGTCAGACATCTTGAACTTCTCCAGTAATTTCTTCGCATAGCTTCCTTGGGATAAGAAAACTCTATCTGGACTTTGCTTTATCTCCATCCCCAAGAAATACTCCATCTTGCCAAGGTCTGTCATCTCAAAGTGATGCATCATTTCTTCTTTGAATCTTCCAATGTTCTCCTCACTACTCCCGGTAATGATCATATCATCCACATATAGTGAGATGATCAGTATCTCTTCTCCAAGTCTTTTGATGTATACCGCTGCCTCGTATGGACATCTCTCAAAACCTTGTTTGAGAAAATATCCATCAATCTTGCTATACCACGCTCTTGGGGCTTGCTTCAAACCGTACAAAGCTTTTCTTAGCTTCAGTACGTGATCTTCTTTGCCGTCTACTTCAAATCCTTGAGGTTGCTCCACAAATACTTCCTCCTCAAGTTCACCATTTAGAAATGCGGACTTCACATCCATGTGATGTAGCGTCCACCTCTTTTGTGCTGCAATCGCAAGTATGAGTCTAATGGTATCGTAGCTTGACACAGGTGCAAACGTCTCTGTGTAGTCTTCACCGTACTTCTGACTGAACCCTCTTGCAACCAGCCTCGCTTTATGCCTTTGTATGGATCCATCTGCAGCAGTCTTGAGTTTGTAGATCCACTTCATCGTGATAGCCTTCTTCTTCTCGGGTCTTTCCACCAACTCCCAAGTGTTATTCTTCTCAATCATGTTGATTTCTTCTTCCATCGTTTTTCTCCATTCTGGATAACTTTCAGCCTCTTCAAATGTAGTTGGTTCTACAGAACACATGAAACATGCTTCCATCATGTCTGCAGAATAGTCCAACACTCTTGGAGCGACTTCAAGTATCTCCTTCACAGATCTCGTCTTGGGATTTCTAGGTTCTGATGAACTCCCTTCTAGAGTGTCTTCTCCAGTGTTGTTGGATGTAGAACCACTTGATTCTCCATTTGAATCCTTATAGAAATCTGATGCAGGAATTGCAATACTTTTTCCTTTCTCTAAGCTTTTGCTCCACTCCCATGTTTGACTTTCATCAAATATAACATCTCTTGCAACTGCAACTCTTTGCTTCTCCGGCAAGTAAACTCTGTAGCCTTTGCTTTGACTACTGTACCCAATGAGTACGCCTTTCTCCGCTTTGTCTTCCAGCTTTGTTCGTCTTTCATCTGGTACATGGACATAACACAGACACCCAAACACTTTCAAGTAACTTAGTGAGGGTTTATGTCCGGTAAGGTAGTCTGTTTTGCAAGTATACTGCAGTGTATACCGCCTCTGCCCAGAAGTTGTTTTCCATTCCGGCTTCCTTCAGCATTGCTCGTGCCATCTCCATAACACTTCTGTTTTTCCTTTCACTTACTCCATTTTGTTGTGGAGAGTATGCCACCGTGAGTTGTCTCGAGATACCTTGACTTTCGCAGAATCTTGCAAACTCTTGCGATGTGTACTCTCCTCCTCGATCTGACCTGAGTGTCTTGATTTTTTCTTCAGCTTGGTTCTCTACCATAGCCTTAAACTTCTTGAACACCCCGAATATTTCTGACTTGTTTTTCAGAAAGTATACCCACGTCATTCTCGAATAATCATCGATCAAGAGTAGAAAATACCTGCTTCCATCAAGCGAAGGTGTTTGCATCGGGCCGCATATATCTGAGTGCACTAGCTCTAGCTTCTTCTGAGCTCTTGATGAAGATGATGGAAACACGAGTCTTGATTGTTTCCCTAATTGGCATGCTTCACACACCTCATTGTAGTTGCCAAAGTTAGGGATTCCCTTCGCCATATTCTTGTGTAGTAACTTTTGCATGTATGAGTTACTACTATGCCCAAACCTTCGGTGCCACAGTTGAGCCATCGAATCTTCCTTAGCCGTATAGGTAGACTCGCATGCTCTCACAAGTTGCATTGGAAAGCTCTTCCTCTGCATTTGTATTTCGGCAATTTTCCTCCCCATAGGATCACGAATCACACAACTACTTTCTTTGAAGTTGAGTTCGTACCCGTTTAGGAGCATTTGAGGAACACTAAGTAGGTTCTTGACCAACTTCGGAACATAGAACACATCCTTGATAACTCTTGCACCTTTCTTCGTGTTAACCATGATATCTCCTTTTCCTTCCGTCAAGATTACGGCTCCATTCCCTATTCGGATAGGGATCTTGATATCTCGGTCTATCTTCTTGAAGTACCGGATATCTTTGGACATGTGATTTGTGCATCCACTGTCGATTAGCCACATGTCTTCTCCTTGGGCGATCATAGCTTCATCTCGCGCCGTAAATAGCTGTTCATTCATGCCCTCTGTTTGTGTGACTTGAGCCTATTGATTTTGATTTCTTCTGCAATCTCGAGCCAAATGTCCTGGCTTTCCGCATGTGTAGCATTCTTTCGACCTCCTTACTTGTTGGTCTTGTTTGCCCTTCTTGTTTTTGAAGTAACACTCCTCCTCGGCGTGATTATCTTTCTTACAATAACCACACCATTTCTTCCCTTTTGGATTAAACCTCCAGAGACCTTTATTATCTCCTTTGTGATTTTTCGATCGAGCTGGAAAAGCTCCTTCTGAATTTCCTTCTTCATCCGGTAGGAACTTTGATTCATGTGCGATCAAAGATCCAACCAGATCTGTGACACTTATGTTTCTCAAATCTTTCGTCTCCTCCATCAACGCTGCCAAAGTTGCATATGACTTTGGCATCGTCGTTAGGATCTTCCTTATGATTTCAAAATTTTTCTTTCCTTCTCCCAATTGCTCCATTTGATTTGCGATATCCATCACTCTATCCGTATATGCTCTTATTCTTTCTCCATCTTTCATTCTCAAATTTTCGAATTGAGTATGTAAAGATTGTAATCGAACAAGTATGGCTCCCTCCTTTCCTTGATATGCTTCTTGCAACTTGGTCCACACCTCCTTTGATGTCGTGGCCGTTATCACCTTCCGGAAGACGGAATCTGTGATGAAATTTTGTAGAAGTTGGAGAGCTGTCATATCTTCATCTTGATCTCCCTCCATTTTGTGAGATCCGTCTCTTGATTTTTCGTCGGAGTTTCTGCAGTCTCCGATGGTTGTGTTAGAACGCCCTTTTCGACAACGTCCCATAACTCTCTCAACATTAGTGTCGTCTTCATCCTCGTGGCCCATAACTCATAATTTTGGCCATCGAAAATAGCAATGGGTTGAATGTTTTGGATGTTTACCGCCATAGTGCTCTTCGTGCAAGTTGTGCTTCGTGGTGCGTCTTGTGCTTCGATCTAGTGCTCTTCCTTGTGCTTGAATTAGTGCAGCGTCGTCCCTTGAACCGTAGTAGGCTCTGATACCATGTTATGAAGCTTGTATTATATTATCATTGACAAGCTTCTTATCTTCTCTTCTTTAGTGCATAGTGCAAAGAAAGAAAACCAAGAAAGTATCGAAGATTTGTAGCACTTATGCTTAGAATTTTGTAAGAAAACAAAGAGAGAGAAAAAATTAAATTGTCCATGCAAAATAAACATTTTTATTGAACTAAAAAAATGAATGGGAATAGTTTTTATGAAATAAATACAACCAATGCACATTAAAGAATCAAAATATAAGCATAATAAGCAAAATACTCCTTAAGCAATGCACATTAAATTATTATGTTTACTTCCGTAGTCCGTACAACACTAAGAAGGAATAAAAACCCAAAAAAAAAAGACTAATAATTAATATATATATATATATGTTTGTTCTTCTAAAACACGGTTCAATTTCATAGCTACATTGGCTTTCTCTTTTACAAAATGACAAAAAAAAAAGAATCATAGAGAATCCCCAAATCACACTTTACTCAAATCCCCCACCACCTAAATACCACTTGTCTTCGCTTGTGTTTGTAATGTTCTGTCTTATCCTTTCCCTTTGATGCATTCGTGTTAACCTGCTTCCAGAATGTTTATGAAGAAGCTGAAGACATACTCTCCGTCGGGTTTTCAGAGTGGGAAGTGATTCTCTCCACGTCCAAAAGCCTAGACCTCGTTTAGGCGCAAGTTCTATCCGATCCATTCTTGAGACGGCTCATCCTCAGGTAAGTTTACTTCCAAGGTACGCTTTGTGTAATTCCGATCCAGTAACTTGACGGGATGCGTTTCTTCGAATTTGGATGTCCATCCATTCTATAATGTTGTTGACGATATTATTAGGGTTCTTCCCTGCGCGTGTGATCGAGTTCAATTTTTTTCCGTTTCGATTGGCTTAGATTTGTGCATATTTGATCTGCATCTGGTTTCTATGTTTTGATTTAGGCTCCGTCGGCTGCAATCGCTCATTCGCTATTGGTTTTACTCGCAGATGGTCTGTAGAAGGAGGCTCTTGAATCGAAAACCCTAATCTTTGTCCTTCTCTTTTTGATCTTAGATCGCTATATTATTGAGTTTTTCCAATGTGGGCGTAGCTGTTAGTGCGGTGAGGTTGTTCGATTTTGGAGTTTAGTTTACGACGTATTGGTATTACTTAGATCGAGTGTCTGACCGTGGGCAGCGATAATTTCCTGTTTAAATTCCATGTGATCGCTGTAAAGCTTTAGATCCGTGTTTCCCCTAGAGGTAGCACATGGAATCTTTGGTGTTTTTGGCAATTAGGGTTTTGTTTTGTCGTGTCTGCTCAATTCGATTCGATTTCTGATCCGTTTTTGAGGTCGATCTAGTTTTTTTGATGCATTGAGTTAGGTTCGAAGGGACTCTGTCTCTGGATAATGTCAGGCATATGATTTTGCTGAATCCACAGATGCGTAAAGCTCTCATCTTTGTTTTCAATTTGTTGTTTTCAGAAGAATCTTCCATTTTTATCGTCTTCGTCGTCTTCCCTAAAATCATCTCCGATTGTTCAGATGCGTTTTTGGTTCTTTTCCTGTTTTTTTTTTTCTCAGCTCAACCAGTGAGATTTTGGTTTAATATTGAATACAATGTCTTTCTCCCATTGTTCGTCTTCAGTCATTGTACTTTCTTGCTTGTTTATTATTCCACGATTCAAAGTTAAGGTTTTTACTGAGGGCATATCAACCTAGGTCCGCATTTCTCAGCTTGATGTTCAACCTAGCTCTGAACCTCAATTTGGACAAGCTCTATTCAGAACTTGTATGTTTATTTTCTCAATCAAATATGCAGAGATGGATTGGCAAGGGCAAAAACTGGCAGAGCAGCTGATGCAGATCCTGCTCTTGATCTTCGGTGTCATCGCAATTGTTGCGGGATATTCAATGGGTTCGTTTAGGATGATGATGCTGGTCTATGCAGGTGGCGTGGTTCTCACCACTCTGATCACCATTCCTAACTGGCCGTTCTTCAATCGTCACCCTCTCAAGTGGTTGGACCCGAGCGAGGCCGAGAAGCATCCCCGACCACTAGCAACCACGACTTCGAAGAAGAAAAACTCAAAGAAGTAGGCTTTGCTTTGATATCTTGTGTTTCTTCATCTCAAACTTTAGACATAACTAGACGGGAGTGTTGTTTTTTGGACATCAGATTCTCCAAGACATTCAAATCTTTATATTGATGGTCCCATTGTAATGAGTTGAAATGTTTCTGGATTGTGAGCCTAATAAACTTGAAAAGGTCTTTACTTTATTACACCTGCCATCTATGTTCTTCATGTTTGTGCAAATTAAATTAAATAATTCAACAAGGTTCAGGGAAGGAGGAAATTCAGAGTCCCTGCGACGGTTTTAAGGTTTGCGATCTCTCTCCGCCGTTCACCTCGCCATCGGCAGGAATTTTCGACACCCCCTCCGTCCTCGTTGACGTTAGAAGTTTCCTCCAGTGTGCATTCTTTCTCTCCCTCTCTCCTGCTTTTCCATTTTCGTCGTCTTTTTCTCAAACTGAGAATGATCTGGTTGTGGCGGCGAAGGAAGACGCTTACAGGACATTCCGGCCCTCGTGGAGAACGTTGATCAGAACTTTGCCAGAGTTAGGGATCTGCTGGCGTTCGGACGAGCACACAGGTCTTAGGATCCAATCATGGAATCGTCGTATGAGATTCAAGTCATGATCGGTCGAAGCTGGTCGAGTCTGGCCTTAACCGCTGGGAAATCGGCGAGATCGCGAGCCGATCCATTCTTGAGACGGCTCATCCTCAGGTAAGTTTACTTCCATCGATTCTCTATTCTACAACTTTAGACGTCTTTACGTGATTCTACGGCATCTTTCCAGATTCCAGATTCATCTTGCCGGTCCGTATTAGACGCTTTCTGCCGTTCGGAAGATCTTGAATCTAGCCTGCCCCTCTGCTTTCCCGGCCTCCCGGGCTCCGTCTCGTCGGGGTCTGAACCCGTGAAATCTGTTCTTCGCCGACTGGCCGGCCGACCACCTGGGAGTAACCGAATGTTTCAGATTCTGACAAGGACATAGTCTGACAAGGACATAAACTGGTAAAAACGCTGGAGCCTGTCTCTCCAATGGTTTTGTTATATGAAGGCAAAGATCGGTGTTGGTTATACTTTTTATTTTATTTTTACAAAAAAGATTTATTTTGTAATAAAATATCTGTTTTTTTTAGATTTTTTTATATTTAATCTAAATCTCAAAAAAGAATTCGAAATGGATTTTTAGTTGAGTTTCTATTGGAATTATTGATTGGGGTTCCATTCCATTTGTTTTGTAGATAGTCGAAATCTCCACACCGTACGATTACAAAGCTAACCTTACATCCCAGCCGTCCATGAGTTGGTACACTTCCCTTGTTCGTCTTCTCCATTTTTTTTTCTCTCCCCTGGATGAGCTCTCGATAGGGGGAAAAAAAAGGGCTGAAGAAAGAAATCGAGGTACGCTTTTGAAATTCTTTCGAGGATTCGTTTTTCGAATTTGGATGTCCAGCAATCGTGGATTGTCGATCACCGCATTATTAGGGTTCTTCCCCCTCTCTGCTGATGTGATTGAATTCAATTTTTTTTACCGTTTCGATTGACTTAGATATGTGTGTATTTGCTCTACGTCTGGTTGCTGTCTTTTGATTTCTCCACGCTCTTGATAATTTTTTTCCAGGCGGAGAAAAATTGAAGTCTTTAGGCTCCATCCTGGCTGGAATTGCTCATTCGCTTTTGGTTTTATCGTAGATGGTTTGTAGAAGGAGGCTCTTGAATCGAATGCCCTAATCTATGATGTTAACGTCGAGACCCCTTTTGTACCCTAATTTCCCCGTGCTTGTAACATCATCAAGCCCTAGCTTTGGCTGCAAAAGCTGGCATTTTCCGCGCTGCAAATCCCCCACGAGTTTCAGACTACACGCACAAAACGGCGGCAATGATCTGGGAAATGGTCTCGGTGGGAAAGACGAAGTACGAGGGGGAAACGAACCGATCAGTAACGGGAATGGCTCGAGGAAAGAGGGATGGCTAGGGTTCAATCTCCGGTGGGGCGATCTCTTGAATCCGGATCCGGACAATTTCGTGGCCATCGGACTAGCCGGAGTGCTGACATGGGCGAGCGTTCAGGTCCTGTCTCAGCTCCTCTTCATCTCTCTCGCCATTCTTGTTGCTGCTCTCAAGTACTCCTTCATTGCCGCCCTCCTCATTTTCATCCTCATCACCCTCCTCTAAGGCCTGCCATTCTATGCTCTATGGGTATTGTACATTTCCATTAACATGGTTATTCAAGATTTTTAGACTATTTGCATTCAAATCTGAAACTATTAGACTGTATGTTTCATTATCCCAGCTGGTACGTATGGGATCGGGTCAATGAATTCAAACTCGTGAGACCCTGTCAGTCAAGTTAGATATTCGAAATTCCGGATTCTTTTCCCAACCCTACTTGCTAAGGATCTAAACATCGATCAATGGAAACATGGAGAAGGATAATGTGATCTCTCGTACTGAAGAATATAGATGATATATATATATATAAAAAAAGTAAAGACCCTTTCAAGTTTTATTAGGGTCACAATCCAGAAACATCTCATCTCATTACTGTGGGGCCATTAATGTAAATATTTGAATGTCCTAGAGAATGTGATGTCCAAAAAAAAAAAAAAACAAACACTCCCATCTAGTTATACCTAAAGTTTGAGATGAAGAAACACAAGATATCAAAGCAAAGCCTACTTCCTTGAGTTTTTCTTCTTCGAACTCGCGGTCACTTGTGGTCGGGGATGCTTCTCAGCCTCACTCGGGTCCAACCACTTGAGAGGGTGATGATTGAAGAACGGCCAGTTAGGGACGGTGATCAGAGTGGTGAGAACCACACCACCTGCATAGATCAGCATCATCATCCTAAAAGATCCCATTGGATATCCCGCAACAATTGCGATGACACCGAAGATCAAGAGCAGGATCTGCATCAGCTGCTCCGTCAATTTTTGCCCTTGCCAATCCATCACTGCATATTTGTTCAAGAAAATAAACATATAAATTCTGGATGTCAAAACCATAGAGCATTTCCAATTGCAGTTCGGATCTACTTTCTTAGAACACATCAAACTGATAAAGCCATAGAAAACGAGGAATGCAGATCTAGGTTGATATGCCCTCTCAGTGAAAACCTTAACCTTGAATCGTGGAATAATAAAGAAGCAAGAAAGCACAATCGCTGAAGATGAACGGGAGAACGAAACATTGTTTTGATATTGTGTATACAACAGATAAACTATACTCCTAGATTTCAATATTACACAGATTCAATATTAAACCAAAATCTCACTGGTTGAGCTGAGAAAGAAAAGGAAAAGAACCAAAAATACATATGAACAATCGGAGATTGTTTTAAGAAAGACGACGAACGAAGATGGTAAAGATGGAAGATTCCTCTGAAAAAAAAATTGAAAATGAAGATGAGAGCTCTACACATCTGTGGATTCAACATAATCATATGCCTGACATTATCCAGAGACAGAGTCCCTTTGAACCTAACTCAATGCATCAACAAAACTGGATCGACCTCAAGGAGGCCTCACAAATCGAATCAAATTGAGCATACATAACAAAGCAAAAACCCTGATTGCCAAACACCAAAGATTCCATGTGCTACATCCAGGGGAAACACCGATCCGAAGCTTTACAGAGATCAAATGGAATTTAAACAGGAAATCATCGCAGCCCACGGTCAGATACTCGATCTAAGCAATACCAATACGCCGTAATCTAAACTCCAAATCGGACAACTTCACAACATTAACAGCTACGCCCACAGTGGAAAAACAATCAATAACATAGCGATCTAAGATCAGAGACAGAAGAAGAGAGAGCCATACCTTCGCTTCCCCGAAACCTCTCCTCAGCAAAATCGAAAGTTTCGTGCCCACAGCCGTCAAAACTCTTTTTGAGGGGACGACGGTCAGAGACAAAATGAAAAAAGAAAAACAAAAACCCAATCGCTTATTACACAGGCTCAGTATTTATAAAGGCATGTAATATTATATTGGGCTTTTTTCAGGCCCAGAGTTACAAAAAAGTTTTAGGTTTTACAATATTTATAACAGTTTCAAAATCAATTAAAAGACTGGGCATGTTTTCTATTGAACATTGGACAGGTCGGTTATTAGTCTAATCTCAATTGAATATGTTTGCATTTCTGAATATTATTCGGAAATAGCCCGGTTTACTGCGTTTGTAATTAGATTTTAAATCCGTGTTTAACAAGAAAACTTTTCATTTAATCCCACGTAGCGGTGATCGTTGTCACACCGGTAAATATTTGATTTCAGCCGTCAGATTGGGTCGAGAAAACATAACTTGTGGCTTTTATGACCGTCGATTTAAAAACGAGGAAAACACAGTGACAAGCCATAATAACCGCTCGATCGCCATCGTTATTTATAAATACGATCCAAAGACGTTGTCTTTGAAGGTTTTTTGTTGCTATGTTCAGAGCTGAAGGGATCGATGTGAAGGAGATAGGGATTCGTAGGAAGAAGATCAGGTACGATTTTATAAATTTTACGAATTTAGGCCTCTTGATATATGTACCGCTCTGTGTCGTTGTCAATGATTTGATTGTCGAAATGAAATGGTAGAGTTGCTGGTAGTTGTAGGGTTTAGATTAGGGCATGTAAATCGAGTATCTGGTTTTCCACCGGAAGACATTGTTGTTTGCTGTTCCTGTTGCTCGTAGTAAACTTGATTGGTATCTGTTTGCTTAGAGATGTCATAGATGATGCTCTTCTGTGTTCGACAATTGGGGGTATGGTCTGGATCTGCCCTAGCGCGGTTCCTGTTGAATGATGAATTTAGCTCTGTTTTCCATAACTTTATTTGGCTTTGATGGATACTTTTTATCAGGCGTATGGTAATTGTATTTGGTAATCGCCAGCTTCTGAGTTACCTTTTGATTGGAGTTTAGGAAGTGTGATGATTTACTGACGTTTTGCTTATGAACAGATGGCTCGTACGAAGCAAACAGCTCGTAAGTCCACTGGAGGGAAGGCCCCAAGGAAGCAGCTTGCTACCAAAGTATATGATTTGTCGTAATCTTTTGAGTTGGTGTGGTGATTTTGATGAGATCTACAGTATTACCTGTCATTGTTGTGTTCTTGTTTTAGGCTGCTCTTAAGTCTGCCTCAACCACCGGTGGAGTCAAGAAGCCCCATCGCTACCGTCCTAGAACTGTTGCCCTTCGATATGTAGATCTTTTGCCCTAATTTTTTTCCGGGATCTCTGTATGGAATTACTTGTTTTAACGAAATTTTTGTTTGTGTGGACAGTGAAATCGCAAGTACCAGAAGAGTACCGAGTTGTTGATTCAGAAGCTTCCGTTCCAGAGGCTTGTCCGTGAGATTGCCCAGGATTTCAAGGTATGGGTATTTTCGGATAAATACAAGCATATGGATAATGCCTAATCTTTTCGGTGTAATCGTGTAATTCTTTTTGATGGGCTATTGCCTGACTTGTGTTTCCAAAGCCATGCGGTGTTGGCACTTCAGGAGGCAGCAGAAGCGTATCTTGTGGGTCTATTTGAGGACACCAACTTGTGCGCCATCCACGCCAACCGTATGTCAAAACGTATTTATTTGAAAAAATATGAAACAATTATAACTGACCTTATTATAAATTCAGCTACTCTAATCGACAATAAAATGATAAATATTTAATTATTTTCGCTGCATTCACTTGAATTTAGATATAAAAAAAACGTATGTCAAAAAGCAAAGACCACTAAATGTTTAAATTTTCTCCCTTTGATAAAATAGCCAATAATCTTGGGGGGAAGAGTGGTGATTTGGTAGATATGAGAGAGAGAATGGTAAAAGCGTCATATTCACTCTTGCCACCTACTTCTTTCGATACACTTTTCCGTTTAACTCTACGTCGTTGTACACAGTGTAGCTCATTATTGCACGGTGGGTTGCTTTCTCTCAAGACTTGTCCGCTGGGTTCTTTTTACGTGGATTGATCTCCCGAAATCTCCCGTCTTTCTCTGGATCTGAGCGAAAGATCTTCCTCTGTTACCTCCCTGTAAGCTAACAGATCGCATTGTTTTCAGTTTTTGACGATTTGGCTTCGTTTCTCCTTTTGTTTCCCGATAAAATTCGGTACCAAAACGAGGGAGATACGTCTTAGACTGGCGAGATGAGTTGAAATCGTTCTTCTGAGGCCTATACGTTGGTTTCCTTCTGTGTGTTTAATCGTTATTTCTTCTTTTCCGGTCCAAAGACTCATCATTCAAGAACCCATCTGCTGCCGCTGATACAACGCTAAACGGAAGCCAGTTTACCTTCTTCTTAACGTCTCCTTTACAAGCATTCTGCCAGATGCTGGGCGTCGGGGACTCGGATACAGACACCGTAAGGATGATGTTGATGTTACGAAGCTTGTATTATATTATCATTGACAAGCTTCTTATCTTCTCTTCTTTAGTGCATAGTGCAAAGAAATAAAACCAAGAAAGTATCGAAGATTTGTAGCACTTATGCTTAGAATTTTGTAAGAAAACAAAGAGAGAAAAGAGAGAGAAGTGTTTAGAGAGAAATGCTTAGAAATGCTTAGGAAAGCTTGATATGAAAAACTTCATACAACACCCCCTATTTATACTAAAACTCCAAACCTACCACTCTCATCATAACCACACATCTCACCCATCAATCACATCTCACCTATCAATCACACCTACCATATCCTTATTTTCTTCAATCACACCTAACACACACACAAATTCAAACTTCTACAACTCCTTACATAAGCATTACATCATCCTGATGTAATCGCTTACATAAGTATTACATAAACACGACATAATCGCTTACATAAACATTACATAAGCGTAACATAAGCAAATGAATCACCTTCTCAATACTCCTCCTTGATTCATTTGCGCGTCATCCCTAATTTCTTCTTCAACTCCTCGAATCTTGAAGCTCCTAGTGCCTTTGTGAAGATGTCTGCCAATTGCTCTTCTCCTTTGACATATGTGAGTTTGATAACTCCATTGTGCTCCGCTTCTCTGACCACATGATACTTGATGTTGATGTGCTTCCCTCTTGCTTGCATCCCAAGCTATCAAGTAGATTCCGTAGCCATATGGTTTGGTTTACCGCTGCTGCTGCTGAGATGTACTCTGCCTCCGCCGTTGATTGTGGATCACCTCTTGCTTTTGTGTCTGCCATGAGAATATCGCTCCTCCTATCTTAAACACGTAACCACTTGTGTTTTTCATGTCATCTTGACTTCCGGCCCAATCACTATCACAGTATCCCTGCAACAGTACAGTGTTCTCGGATTTGAAGTGTAAGCCAAGATCAATGGTTCCCTTGACATACCTCAATACCCTCTTTGCTTGCTTGAAATGCGTCATCTCCGGTTTGCTCATGAATCTTGAAAGGTACATCAGATCCGGTCTCGTAGCCGTTAAGTACAACAGACTTCCCACCATGCTTCGATATTCTTTTGCATCTGCTTCTTTCTCCTCCTCCATATCAATGTTCTTGCTGTTTGGTTCAAGTGGTATACTGACCGGCTTACAGTCAGACATCTTGAACTTCTCCAGTAATTTCTTCGCATAGCTTCCTTGGGATAAGAAAACTCCATCTGGACTTTGCTTTATCTCTATCCCCAAGAAATACTCCATCTTGCCAAGGTCTGTCATCTCAAAGTGATGCATCATTTCTTCTTTGAATCTTCCAATGTTCTCCTCACTACTCCCGGTAATGATCATATCATCCACATATAGTGAGATGATCAGTATCTCTTCTCCAAGTCTTTTGATGTATACCGCTGCCTCGTATGGACATCTCTCAAAACCTTGTTTGAGAAAATATCCATCAATCTTACTATACCACGCTCTTGGGGCTTGCTTCAAACTGTACAAAGCTTTTCTTAGCTTCAGTACGTGATCTTCTTTGCCGTCTACTTCAAATCCTTGAGGTTGCTCCACAAATACTTCTTCCTCAAGTTCACCATTTAGAAATGCGGACTTCACATCCATGTGATGTAGCGTCCACCTCTTTTGTGCTGCAATCGCAAGTATGAGTCTAATGGTATCGTACCTTGACACAGGTGCAAACGTCTCTGTGTAGTCTTCACCGTACTTCTGACTGAACCCTCTTGCAACCAGCCTCGCTTTATGCCTTTGTATGGATCCATCTGCAGCAGTCTTGAGTTTGTAGATCCACTTCATCGTGATAGCCTTCTTCTTCTCGGGTCTTTCCACCAACTCCCAAGTGTTATTCTTCTCAATCATGTTGATTTCTTCTTCCATCGCTTTTCTCCATTCTGGATAACTTTCAGCCTCTTCAAATGTAGTTGGTTCTACAGAACACATGAAACATGCTTCCATCATGTCTGCAGAATAGTCCAACACTCTTGGAGCGACTTCAAGTATCTCCTTCACAGATCTCGTCTTGGGATTTCTAGGTTCTGATGAACTCCCTTCTAGAGTGTCTTCTCCAGTGTTGTTGGATGTAGAACCACTTGATTCTCCATTTGAATCCTTATAGAAATCTGATGCAGGAATTG